CATGTATGTGAATTATCAGAGAAATGACTAAAAGTGAGGAAAAGAACTCAATTCAGTTTCACCTGTTTAAAGTTAGATGTTTTTCATCTACCTAGTGTCAGTAGGAGTACACACATATGGGTCTTAAAATCATATCAAAATTATTGCTTATTCTGAGTAATTCACACATCACCATAGGGAATATTTTGAGCATAGGCAGAGGACATGACAGTGAAGGATATATTTAAGGAGCAGAGTTCAGTTTGAAATGTAGAGAGAAGTAATACTAATAATAACTGACTTTATATACTAGTCAGAAACTTGAACACTGCTTTATATGTTATTCTGAGCCTCAAAACAACCTTGTGAGATAACTACAGTTATTATCCCCATTTTTTTTTCCCTAGGTGAGGAAACTGAGATTCAGAGAGGTTAAGTAGTTAAATCCATGATCATACAGATATTGTCAAAGGCAGGATTGGAACCCAGGTCTTTCTGGCTTTCAGTTCATTGTCCTATCTCCCGTGCCAGACTTTCTATGAATAACATGAGATAAGGCTTACACGGGTAGCATGATACACAATAATGAAGGTCCTCAAATGCAAGGTAGAGTACTTAACGTTAACTAGTAGGCATTAGGTTGTCATCACAAGAATATTGAGCAGAAGAGTGACATGATCAGATCTATGCCTAAAGGGTAGATTATTCTGAAAGCAGCATGAGTCTTTGGATCACAGAGGAAAATAAGCAGAGGGATTCAAGACATTTTAGATAGTAAGTATTATTAAGCACTGCTGTATGCCAGGTACTGTGCTAAGCAAGCAGTAGGGGGACCAAAAAAAGGGGGGGGGGCAAAAACATGTTTCTTGCCCACATGGTACTCACTTTCTAATGATGGAAACATATAAACAATGATGTACATAGAAGATGTATAGAAAATAAATGGAAGATAATCTTAGAGGAAAGACACTACTAGCATTTGAGTAGGCAGAAACAGGGGGTAAGACTGGGAAAAGTCTCATACAGAAAGTGGGATTTTGAGTTGAGTCTTGAAAGAAGCCAAGAGGCAGCGGTAAGGAGGGAGAGAGCATTCAGGGAGCAGCCAATTGAAAAGACATGAAGATGGAGCATTTTCCATGTAAGAAACAGCAGGTAGGTCAATGTGGCTGGCTCTTCCATGTAAGAGAATAAAATGTAAGAAGACTAGAAGGGTAAGAAGTGCTTCCAAGTAGACTTGGAAGGCTATTGGTTGTTGAAGAGCTTTAAGAATGAAGATTTTGTATTTGATCCTGGAGTTAATAGGGAGCCATTGGAGTATTGAGTAGGTAGAACAACGTGGTCAATTCTGTGCTTTAGGAATATTATTTTGGCAGCTGAATGGAGGAAGTGCTGAAGTGAGGAGCGACTTGAAGCAGGGAGACCAACCAGAAGGGTCTTAACAGTAGTCTACTGTGAGATGACAAAAGGGTGGTCTCTGAGGGTTGAGAGAAAGGGTCTTATAGTAGAGATGTGGAGGTAGAAATGACAAAGACTTGGCATCAGATTGGATATATGGAGTACAAGAGAAAGGAGTTGAGAATATCACTGACCCTGGGTAACTGGGATTTCTTTCTAAAATGTGTTGGTTTTTTGGGATAGAATTTTCTTGTAGTGCTTTCCAACTAGACTCATAGGATTATTATTGTGATGGAATTTACCTCCTCAAACAAAGTTATAGTGTGATTTGAGAGAAGGCGCCAAAATAGACAGTAGTTAGAGATGGGGGCTCCAAGTCAGTTCAGTAATGGAGTTAGAGAAAAGATAGAGATCAGGATTCATAGGATGGAGGGTTATAAACTGTTAGAATGTCTCTGCTTGCCACATCCTTGTTAGTTGTAATTAAGTACAAAATAGTTTCTTTTTTAGTTTTCTCTACTCTTTGAAAGATAAAATTGTTATCCAGGCAAATTGAAAATGGATCAGATGCACCCTTTTTTTTTTGCAGAATTGTATTTCTAGCAGATACGAAGAGAGTTGTTCTCCCTTCTCAGTTAGTAAATCCTCTGGCTTGCTTGTCTTTGTGCCAATTTTATTCTTTTAAGAGTTACTTCAGTATTCATCAGTTGTTTGGTAGGTCCAAAGTATGCTTTCATAGCAATGTCTGTTCTGCTTTTCTTTTTTCTTTTCTTTTCTTTTCTTTTCATTTCTTTTCTTCTCTTCTCTTCTCTTCTCTTCCCTTCTCTTCTCTTCTCTTTTCTTTTCTCCTTAACCAAGCTTTTACCCTTAGTCATATGGCTTCTCATTCCCAGGTATTCATTCTGTTTCTTCTTAACAAAGTATAGTAATAGTAATGGCTGGCATTTATTTAATATTTTAAAGTTTACAAAAGCACTTTACATAATTTGAGGGTAGACATTCTGAGTATTTTTTGTTTTCATTTAATAGATGAGAAAACAGATTCGGAGAGATTGTGGCTAAGCCCCAGTCATGAAGATGCTTAAATTTTACACTTCCATGGCTACAATGTGTCCTTCCACAGAGTCTGACACTTTCATGAGATCATTATTACTTTATGTAAAAATTTTGAATTTATTCTGTCATCTGTACTTGTCTTCATGTATAGACATGTGCCCATAGATAATCTAACTATTCACCTGAGAATTACATGGCATTGTTGGTTGGTATTTTACTATGCTGCTTTTTTCTTTGTTAAACATGTTTGTATTTTTCATATTCTCTAGTTTTGTAGCTTTATCTGGGTAATATGAGTTCCCTCTCCTCCCTTCCCATTCAGTTTTAGATACCACATGATCAGATTTGTAGGTGTTCCAAAAACATTCTTTATAATCCTCATGAGGCCATCAGAAACCAAATGCTTCTTGAATACCATCTACAAAAATTACTTTCCAGATCCTCCTTTCCAGGAACTGATTTTCTAATTGAGGGTAGTTATAAAGGCTTCATGAAAGTTAAAGCACTTTGATAAAATAAAACTTTTGGTTCATCTTGTAAATTAATTTATCCATGTAAATCTTCAGTAGTTATACAGAGGATCAAAATTATACTTAGAAACTATAGTTAATAATTTCTCACAAGAGAATTTAATATTGTTCTTTAGAGATAGATAGCATGATCTGGTAGAAAGAGGAACAGATTTGGGAATTAAGACTTTGATCTACCTGGTTCTTGGCTAGGTTTTCCTCAATGGAATTTTATGAAAATCATGAAAACCTGTGGATTTTTTTTTTTCAAAGTACAAAAATTATTTACCACTGAATATTAAGTAAATTGAAACTCCAGGATCTGGTACCTGATCAGTGCTAGTATAGTTGTAGTTTAATTGAAGATCCTTTCTGAGTTTGCATGCCTCATTTTAATTGAACCTGTGATCTAATTGACGTGGGTACTCTCTCCAATGGCAACCCATTCAGACCTTTTCATCCTGTGCAACTCTTATCCATAAGATATCTATAATCTTTAAAAAAAAAACAACAACATTATTTGAGTAACCATTGCAACACTCAGGCCATCTGTTATTTCTCCTTATTATGTGATCAGACCACCTTCTTTTCTGGTGACACTTCTCTTGTGTGATGCATTTTGTACCACCATTTATATTGTCATCATTGGTAACATGCTGCAACCTACTTGTGTTTATCACACATTTCTTCATTGTTGTATGCAAATTTCATTCCTCAGAGATTATAATGTTCTATGATTCACAACTATGTAGCATCCCAGGAAGGCTTCCATTAGATATAGGGATTCTTGTTTCAGGAAATAATCTGGTATAGTTGAAAGGGCTGTACATTTTTATTTTTGAAATGTTTCATTGATACTTTGACATGAAGTGTGAGGTACTACACATATTCCAAGAACAACCCAGCTCATTGTCCATCTGCTCATAGTTTGCGTAAGAGATAAATTTTCTTGAACAAACTCAATGGGTTGTTCGTACAGCTCTTTATCATGGCCTGGACAATAAGTGTTCTTCAATTTTTTCTGTTTTTTTTTTTTCCCTAATGTGAATCATTAGTCTGAACTTTTTAGTCATTGTGGATCTCATTTAAGAAGCTCTGTATATTCTGGAGTTGGAAGGTCCACAAGTAGGAGCTTCTGGACAACCATATTGCCTCTACACAACTCCTTTTCTCGATCCTTTGATGGACATCTTCCATGAAGGTGGCTGCTGGCTTTTGTAAGCATTTGTCTATATTACTGCAGTCATCCCTGCTGGAAATGTGAGATTCACTTACCCAGTATGCCCAATTAGTTGTCAAATCCAATAAATTCTACCTGCAAGACCTTGAATGTCTATCTATTCCTTTTCCTTCCCACAGCTTCCCTATTGTGGATTATTGCAGGATCCCCACCATTCTACTTAACCCTGTTTCATCCTTTTGTCTATGATCCAGATTAATATTCCATACACATATACATATGTAGAGAGGTCTGATTACATAAATTCATTCTTCGTAACTTAACACTACCCAGTTGCCTGTAAATAAAATCCAGATTCCTTAGCTTGGAAATCAAGGTTCTTCACCAACCTACTTTTGAATGTGTTTCTCACTCTATTCTCCTTGACATATTCTACACTTCAGAGGTCCACCCATGGAAGTAGATCTCTCTGCAGAAGAGTTAGTGGGAGGCATTTCTCTTTGTCTCTTTGAGGACAGGCTTGGTCATTATAATTTCACAATATTCAGTTTCAGTTGTTTTACATTGTTTTCATTGTGTTTATTGCTTTCCTAGTTCTGTTTATTTCACTTTGTATCAGTTTATTTAAGTCTTTCCATAGGAACACTGCTTTTATTTTTAGTTATAACATCCTCTAATCTCTTTGTTTTACATCTAGTTGCCTACAAATAAAGTTTAGAAATCCAAACTTCTAAACTTTAGGTATGGGGGAAGGACAGACAAGCATACAAAATGTAAAAATACTCTGAGTTACTAGTGACTTTTGTATTATAAAGTACAAAGTTAATGTAAATATTTGTCTTTGTCTTTGACTTTTTTCCTCTGCCTTTTTTTTTTTTAAGGTGCAAGTGAAAGTGTGGGGAAACATATGCTTGAAGCCTGCAACAATAACCTGGAGATGGCTGTCACAATGTTTTTGGATGGTGGAGGAATAGCTGAAGAGCCTAGTACCAGTTCAGCCAGTGTATCTTCTGTCAGGCCACACACAGAGTATGTCTTTTTTCCCCTCAGTGCCGTGGGTTTTTTCTAATTTAAGAGTTGTATTTTTAGGAGAATTACTTAAACTATCATTTTTTTTTTGGTCAAGAGGTGAACATCTTAAAAATCAAAAGAAAACATTTGCAAGTAGAAATAGTAATACTTTAAGGAATGGTATTTTTCCCCACCATGATTTTACTCCAGTAACCATCTAGGGCAAGCTTATCTCTGTTTTATGAATGTGGGAACAGGTATGTAGAGGCCAAGTGACACATCTGAAGTTACATGGCCTGTTAACTGAAAGTTGGGATAAGAATTGAGGATATCCAATTCTTTGCTCCATAAACTGGATAAATTTGATTGACTTTTTCTTGTGTAAGAAAAATTTCTGTATAAAATTAGATAGCTGGAAAGAATTGTATTATGTTAATGATACTCATTATAGTGACTAATAACCTTATAAAAAGGCTGTTAAATGTTTGAGATATAAGTGTAACTTCATTAACAGGAAGAGCTAAATATGTCACCAAGAACTTCCAAGATAGTAAAGATATTGTTGCAGCACTTCTCATGGTAGTAAAAAACTAGGAACAAAGTAGGTGCCCATAAATTGAGAAATGGACATAAATACGTGTCAGCGTATAATGGAATACGTGCTATAAGAAATAACAAAAATGAAAAGTTTTAGAGAACTTTGGAAGACATGCATGAACTGAAACAGAAAAATAATAAGTAGAACTATGAGCAAAATTTACCAAATGACTACATTGATATGAAGGAAACCCAAACTTGAATGACACCAACCAGTGCATTGAATAATCTTGATTCCGGAGTACTGACAGTGATCCATAACTCTGTCTGCAAAGCATTGGACATGGTTTGAGTTACACACTGTTACCTATACATATTTGTTATAATAGCGTGTTTAGTGCTGCAAGTGGAGGGATGATGGTTCTTGAGAAATGACAGCAATGTGAAGGGAAAAGGCATCAGTTTATCTTTAAAAGACCCATTAAAATTTTTTTTTTTTGGAGATTTTATAACTTTATTTAAATGAAGTTCAATTTAGTTTTCATCCACATTGACTGTCTGTAAACTTTTGAAAGTGGTGACAGGTACGTAAGTAACCAACGTATACAGCTTGTTTGGTGAATCTTCATCTTCATTGTGTTTCCTAGACAAACGCACTCGGATATGGTATGGGACATTCCTTATTCCTTTGGCCCAAACAGCTTTGTTGAGTCTGGTGTCAGTGTGTACATCTGGAGTTCCCATTTCTTTCATGGCAAATTTGCAGATTTCCTTTAGAGCCCGAGGAGCTCGTTTTTTGAAGCCTACTCCATGAATCCTCTTGTGAATGTTGATGGTATAACTCTCTGGTCACCACCTCATTGATGGCAGAACGTCCCTTCTTTTTCTCTCCACCCTTCTTTGTGGGAGCCATCCTGCCCGGGACCAGGTCGGAAAGGAAGGGCGCAGAGGATTGTGGGAGAACCTAATACTAAATTTTAAAATTTTTAGAAAAAATATTTTGGGTTAGAAATAAGCCATAGACTGAATTTAAAGGGCCAGGCCACAAGCTGTCTTCTTTTTTTATGGATTGTAGGGTCCCAGTCTCCAGCTGCAGGTTTTTGTTTCAGTATAATAGTTGTACTTTGTGATTATTTTTATAAAGTTCAAAGTATATGATTATTTTTAAGTGATTGCCATATTTTAAGGTGTGTTCTGTATCATTTGGGGGCTTAAATTTTTTTCCTAAGAGAGCTTATCTATACTTCTGTAATGGAAATGAATAATATGATTCCATTTCCAAAAATCTTAATGCTTTTTTGTTAATAATTTTGATAGTGATTAATGATTGTTATTGTAACTTTTATTGCACCCTGCTAAATATTTTTACAAAAAGATCAAACAGGTATATAATTCTATCGGTAATGGATGACTGTACCTGATTCTCCACAATCCCACTAAAATTGAGTTTCCTTGCTCATAATCTTGTCAGTTTGTGAATGTGAAGTTATACCTCAAAGTAGTTTTAATTTCCATTCTTTTGATTATAAGTAATATTGAACTTTTTTTCTAAGTAATTATGAACAGTTTGTATTTTTTCTTTTGAAACATGTTACATCCTTTTTATTTATTTTATTTATCTATTTTGGACTGGGCATTACTTTCATGAGTTTTTATTAGTTCCTTATATATTTTTCATGTCATTTTTTAAATGTCATGTTAGCTATAATTATTTCCCTAATCTTTTTTTCTTTGAATTGGTTTTTTTGGTGTGTGTAGAAATACTTTATTTTAATTTAGTCAAGAGGAGCAGTTAGGTGGTGCAGTGGATAGAGTTCTGGCCTTGGAGTCAGGAGGACCTGAGTTCAAATGCGGCCTCAGACACTTGACACTTACTAGCTGTGTGACCCTGGGCACGTCACTTAATCCCGATTGCCTCACCCAAAAAAAAATTTTAGTCAAGCGCATTTATCCTTAACCTTTTTTAATAGAAAAGTCATATCACCTCCACAATTCCAAAAAACACATTCTTATATCTTTTATTTTTGTTTATCTAATCCTCTAGCTGAAATTTGCAGATATATTATAGTATAAGATATGAATCTAAATCCATAACCTGCAACTTCCAATCTCTTTTCCAAAGTTAAATAAGTTAAATAATCCTTTCCCTAAGTATTTTCCATAGGTCTATCTATTTTATATCTATTTGGTTTTGTCTGGTGTGTTCTATTCCATTGTTATATTTCTCTTTTTTTGTTCAGTATGAGATTGTTTTGAATGATAATCATTTTGCAATATGTTTTAAAGTTTGGGAAGCTTACACAGTTTTTAGACGACTGTGATAACTTCATTTGCTATCACTTGCTTCCATCTCATGTACATTTCTATTAAAAAAAATCTCAAGTTGATGACTTAACCTGTGTATCCACATAAATCTCTTTCATAAATTCTTCTTTTCTTCCTCATTGATAGTAATGGAATTTGTGTTGTTAAATTTATTCTTGAGAATATCCCTCTTGCACTAACTTCCCCTGTAGAATATTAAGTAATGGGAGTCTATTTTCCTTTCCCTGAACTCTTTGGAATCCACCTGCACCCAAAATTTAGGGTACATATTAGATTATGCTCAGCACTCCCTTCCTTGTATCAGAAGCTGGCATGGTGGTTCTCTGTCAAAGTTTACAGCATTTTATCTTTAGCATCCATGACCTCCTTATTGGTTAGAAGCAGATCCAGGATTGCAGTTTTCTCATTGCTGCTTCTTGAAGAGTGAAATGGTCATTATCATAAGTCCATTTTTAGATGGTAGGATATTCATAGAGAGAGGGCTCTAGTAGATATTCTCTTAGTTGATGTTCCCCTTTACTACTGTTGTACCTCTCTTCCAAGTTCATGACTTTTTTCCTGGAGCCATTACCTGTGGCTTCTTATTAACTCAGTCTATATAATACAGTTCCACCACAATATTCCTTCCTGTTTCTTCTTCCATTGATTCTTACCCAGTACTCCACTATTTCCTTCTAGTTTGTGGATATCCTTATGTAGGCATGTCTTTTTAATTATATAAAATGATACTCTTTTGCCCCTTCAAGGCATGTACTTTCATAGTCATATTTAGTCATGATTCATATCCCACCAAGTATGTGATACCTGTTAGGTGGAATTTGCCTACTTGTTAATTACTATCTTGAGTTTTACCTTTTTTTTTTTGTACCACATACCCCATTCATTTGTCTATAAATTTTTGAGGCCATGATTTTCATCACTGATTATTTCTTTGATATTGTCTCTTACCCAGTGCAGAAATTTCCTGACAAGTGGCCATCTAGCCTCTGCTTACAAATCTCTGTGATGAGGACCTTAACTACTATAACTACCTTTGTGACATTCCATTTTAGAATTGCTCAGAATGTAAAAAACATCCTCATAGTGATTTGAATTCTGCCGCCTTATAATTTTCATCCCTCTGGAGCCAGAGGAAACAAACATCTGTTGTGAACCCAGAGTTTTGTGTAATTTAGGCTAAACATCCCCAAATACTCAATTATTACTTATATGATATGGTTTATAAACTCTTTACTGTGGGGGCTGTCTGTTTCTCTTGACAAAGCCTTTTGTCAGTGATCCTCTTAAAATGTCACACAGAACTCAGAAGTATATTTTACATGTGGTCTGATTAAAAGAGTATTGGGTTTGTTATTCTGGACTTAACTGTTAACTCATGCTGAACTTAGAGTCAACTCAAACTCTCAGATTTTTCTTGTGAATTTTCTTATAGTTAAAAATTTTATTGAAGTGCCACTTTTTGTTTTTGCCACAGTTTCTTTTTTCCTTTGTCATTATTATTTGGGTTTTTTTTAATTATGAACTTGGCAAACATAAATATTTCCATATGCAAAGAACAGAAAAAGAATTATATATGAAACCATATCTTATTACACACAACTTTGTAAAAAGTACATATTAAATTTATCCAACAGTAGTGCCTACACTGCCCTGCTTGTCTGAGTCCCCTTCTGTACCTTTTTCTGATCTCCTTTGTATATTTTAAAAATATTTCATTGGTTTCTCTTTTTGTTAACATCATTGTTAAGTCTTTAAAAGTTGTTTTCCTTCACAGTGTTTTTTTGTCGTGTAAATTGGACTCCTGGTTCTGCTCACTTCATTCTGTATCATTTCATATAAAATTTACTATAGTTCTCTGAATCTATCCCTTTTGTCATTTCTTATGGCATTGTTACATTCTGTTATATTCATATACCATTTTTTCCTTATCCTTTTTCTGATGTAATGGGCAATGACTTTATTTCCAGTTCTTTGCTACAAAAAAGCACTGCTTTAAATGTCTTTGTACATTTGGTCCTTTTCCTCCTCAGATCTGTTTCAGGTATACAACTAGTGCTGGTATCTCTAGGTTACTGATTAGTCATTCTTTTGGACATAGCTCCAAATTGCCTTCCACCAACATTGTACATCCACCAACAGTGCATTAATGTTCCTATTTCCCTAAAGCCCCTCCATTTGTCACTTCCTTTTTTGTCATCTTTGCCAGTCTGATCGGTATGAAGTTCTGTAATTTGCATTTCTCTAATTATTAATGGTTTGGTACATTTCTCCAAATGGCTGATTCCTTCCTTTGAAAACTATCTCTTCGTATCCTTTTACCATTTACTTTTATTCTTATAAATTTGAATCAATTCTTCATATATCTTTGAAGTGAGACCTTAATCAGAGAAACCTACTACAAAGATTTTTCCCCCAGTTAACTCCACCTCTGTTGGTTTTGTTTATGTAAAACCTCTTTGATTTTGTATTTATAGTATGACTTTTTAAAATCTAAGTCTATATTTAATAATTTATTTTAATTACATATATAAGATACATCTCCATTTGGGACTTAGCAGTATAAATATGTGTGATGTGTTTAGAACTGTATAACTATACTTTGAGGAAATCACTTTGGCATGTATCAGTATATTTAAGTTGTAGATTGAAATACATGCTATACACAGGTGCACACCAATTTAACGTTGTACTGTAGAAGGTTACGTAATAGTCATTTGCCAGAAAGGGCACCAAATTCCTCCAAAAGACTGCCAAATTTGGTGCTTAGTGAGGTAGAATGGAGAAAGGGCAGCTAGATGGTGCTGTGGATAGAGTGCCAGGCCTGGAGTCAAGAAGATGAGTCTTCATAAGTTCAAATATGGCTTTAGACACTTAGCTGTGTGACCTTGGACAAGTCGCTTAACCCTGTTTGCCTCAGTTTCCTCATTTTTAAAATGAGCTGAAGAAGGAAATGGCCAACTACTCCAGTATCTTTGCCAAGAAAATCCCAAATGGATTCATGAAGAGTCAGCCATGACTGAAAACAACTAAACAGGCACAGGGATGGAGAAAAAGTAGTTGGAATCACACCAGGATTCCAGCTTCTGTGAAATTAAGCTTGAAATTTGATAAAAAGTCTCCCAGACTACCTGGGGAAGATCTGTCTACAGAGACAATTTTCTTCCCTGGGTACTTTCATTTTTTGGATCTTTTTGTTTCATCAATAAAAAAAAATAAATTGTGGTCAAGACACAACTATACCCGTGAACAATTTCTGTCCGACCTATTTTTCTTCATTGGCTTAATGGCTTTTTAAATTCTATTTTAGGTTCTCCAATGGCCATTTGATGTTTGCATTTTATTTTATTTTTTATTTTTTGGCAAGGCAGTTGGGGTTAAGTGACTTTATCAAGTGTGGTCTGAGACCTGATTTGAACTGAGGTCCTCCTGATTCCAGGGCCAGTGCTCTATTCGCTGTGCCACCTAGCTGCCCCTGATGTTTGCATTTTAGAAGAGTTTATTCTGAGTTCAATATGGGCCCTCACTATTGGAAAAAATTTTTATTATAAATTTAATCACAAATTCAGACATTACATTATGCCAAGAACAGCAAAAAAGAGGATTGTTCAGTACATGCTATTTTAAACTATATTAAATTCAAGGAGATGGAAACAATAAAATTGTCCTATTTGTGTTCCCTTCTGAATTGTTTTTTCTGTGTATTTTAAAGTTTTTATTGATGCCCTTTTTGGTATTTTTAAAAATACATTTTAAAACCAAAGACCCCAGCTTCTGAGATAAGAACTCACTCTTTGACAAAAACTACTGGGAAAACTTGAAAAGAGTTTGGCAGAAACTAGGCAGAGACCAAAAATCTTACACCATATATCAAAATAAAGTCAAAACGGGTACATGATTTAGATATAAAGGCTGAAACCATAAGCAAACTGGGAAAGATGGAGAACAGAAGAATTTATGACCAAACAAGAGATAGAGAATGTTATGAAATACAAAATGGATAATTTTGATTACATTAAATTTTTTTTTTCGCACAAACAGCCAGTGCAACCAAAATTAGGAGGAAAGCAGAAAACTGGGAAAGAATTTTTATAACCAGTGTCTCTGATAAGGGCCTCATTTCTAAAATATATAGAGAACTAAGTCAGATTTATAAGAATACAAGTCATCCCTAATTGATAAATGGTCAAAGGATATGAATAGGCAATTTTCAGATGAAGAAATTAAAACTATCTATAGTCATACGAAAAAATGCTCTAAATCACTATTGATTAGTGAAATGCAAATCAAAACAACTCTGAGGTACCGTACCGCGTCACACCTACCAGATTGACCAACATGACAAAACAGGAAGATGATAAATGTTGGAGAAAATGTGGGAAAATTGGAACACTCATGCATTGTTGGTGGAGTTGTGAAATGATCCAACCATTCTGGAGAACAATTTGGAACTGTGCCCAAAGGGCTATAAAAATGTACATACCCTTTGACCCAGCAATAGCACTTCTAGGGCTTGTATCCCAAAGAGATCATACAAATGGGAAGAGGACCCACATGTACAAAGATTTATAGAAGCTCTTTCTGTGGTGGCAAAGAATTGGAAATTGAGAGAATAGACATCAATTGGGGAATGGCTGATCAAGTTGTGGTATATGAATATAATGGAATACTGTTGTGCATAAGAAATGATGAGCAAGTGGACTTCAGAAAAACCTGGAAAGACTTGTATGGATTGATGGTGAATGAAGACAGCAGAACCAGGAGAATGCTGTATGCTGTAACAGCCACGTTGTGTGATGACTAACTTGGATAGACTTAGCCTTTCTCAACAGTGCAAGGATCTAAGACATCTCCAAAAGTCTTATGGTGGAAAATGCTACCCACATCCAGAGAAAGAACTATGGAGATAGAATGCAGATTGAAGCATACTATTTGCTCTTTTTTTTTCTTCTTTTTTGTTTTGTTTCTTTCTTGTGGTTCCCTCCTTTTGATTCTAATTCTTCTTTACAACATGACTGATGTGAAAATATGTTTAATAGGAATGTATATGTAGAGCCTATATCATATTGCGGGCCATATGGGGGGGCAGTGGGGAAGGAGGGTGAGAAAATTTAAAACTCAAAAGCTTATGGAAGTGATTGTTGAAATCTTAAAAAAAATTAATAAAAAAAAAGAATAGGAAAGATTCTTCATAATATCCAAACTCCTAAATATTTGGTTTCTTTGTTAATCCTCTGTTTGCTGAGACTGGGTTGTTTAGATGTTGTCAAATAAGACCTGCACAAATTCAGGGAAAGTCTTAATTCAAGACTTAAAAACTGCTAACTTTTTGCCTTCAGAAAAGCAGCAAACACGCACTTTACTAAAATTGATATACAGTTGGTTAAAAAAATCTTTTTGTTTTAAAGAAAAAATTATGTTCATTTGCAACTCAAAATAACTTCAAAAAGTAAAAGTACATTTTATTGATTTTTTTTTGTTTTTATATCACCTACGTCGCTGTATACTTTACTCTTTCTTAGAGAGCCATTCTTTATATTTAAGAATTTAAAAAAAAGGAAGAAAAAAGTTAGCAAAATCAACCATCAAAAAGAAAAGTTTAAAGTTATATTCAGTGTTCACACTGACTGCTGCAAAGAAGTGTGGGAAGATGTCTTTTTTATTTCTTCTTTGTAGCCAGCATTCTTCCATCACCTCCCACTAATTCTCCCCTCCCCACTCCGTTATAGAAGCTCTCCCTTGTAACAAGTGCAGTCACGTAAAACAGATCAACACATTGGTCACATCTAAGAATGTATGTTTCATCTGCACCTCTCTCTGAATGACAAGAACCATTCCTTATTAGTTTTTCAGAGGTCTGAAGTCTTTCAAGTTTGTTTTGTTTTATATTATTGTAGTCGTTGTGTACATTGTTCTTCTGGTTCTATTTATTTCAGGCCCATTATGATCAGGAGAGCCCAGTTTTAAAACAAGTCATTTTTCCACACAAAGTTCATGGCTTTTCCTTTTTCAGCCCCAATCTCATAGGTATTGATTTTCCAACCCCAACAAGATCTGAAAACTTTATTTCTGTTGCCATTTCTGGCTTCAGTTTAGTTATATGACAGTTCAAATCCCCAGGGCTCTCCTCTCCTCATCCTATTAGTTATATCCTGACTGATTTCACTACATTCATGATGAGAGGCAACCCATGTCTAATTGGTTATCTCTGTTGTTTTATATTCCCTTTGATCCCTTTTTTTTCCTTAAAAAAAGTTTTAAATAATAAAACAGGCAAAAAGTTCAGTGAAATGAACGTACCTAGTGAAAAACTCAGACATTAAATGCATTGGTCTACACTTGTGGTCTCCTTCATCTACAAACAAGTAGTGAGTAGGGAGGTATCTTTCCATGTCTTTTCTTTGGGAACATGCTTGCTCTTTATAATTTGATAATATTAATTTTCAGTTGTTTTGTTATTGTTCTTTATATTTATGTTACCATATAAGATGTATATATTTTCCTGGTTTTGCTTCATTTTACATCAGTTAAGTCTTTCCATGCTTCTCTATATTTTTCATGCCCTTTGTTTCTTACAGAACAATAATATTACATTACATTCATATCCTTTTCTCTACTTTTTTTTTGTAGAGATGAAGTACGAGCTCCAATTCCTCAAAAGCAGGAAATATTAGTAGAACCAGAGCCTTTATTTGGTGGTAAGTTTCCTATTCTTAGATTTATCTGGCTTCATTGTTTTGCTCTGTATTATACAAAAATTATAGAAAGTGTAAAGGTCCATCTAAAGGGTTTTTGTGAGAACTCAGTAATTAATCATGCACTTTAAATTCTGTTTGTACTATTTCTACTTTAATGAGCTATGAATAAGATGTTAAAGCTAGTATTTAATTTTGAGTGTCAAAAGAAAAAAGTTTTTAAAAATTATTATGACCCTATAAAGAAAATGATTCAAAAACCTTTATCCAAACAGCTGCTTGGCTGCCTCACAGTGTTTTCATTTAACATTAGTTCAAGTAAGTCTTTCCATATTTCTCTGTGTTCATCATGTTCATTATTTCCTTAGAGCCCAAGAATATTCTTTTACAGTTGTTTAACACAAATTGTTTAGCCATTCCCCAACTTTGTTTCGAGTTCTTTGCTACTACAAAAAGTGATGTTATAAATATATTGATATATATTGGGCTTTTCTTTTTATCATTGACCTCTTTGGGGTCTGTACTTAGCAATCAGTCCTTTGCATCAAAGGGTATGAATGGTTTTCAGGGTTGGGGAATCTGCGGCCTCGAGACCACATGTGGCCTTCTAGGTTCTCAAGTGCAGCCCTTTTACCGAATCCAAACTTCACAGAACAAGTCCCCTTAATAACTCAAATTGCACTTGAGGACCTAGAGGACCATATGTGGCCTCGAGGTCACAGGTTCTCTACCCTTGGTTTAGATATTTTATTTGCATAATTCCACATTGCTTCCCAGAATGGTTATACTAATTCCCAATTCTATCAACAGTGAACTAGTGTACCTGCTTTTTCACAACCAGTCCAGCATTGACCATTCCCATGTTTTGTCATCTTTTGCCATTTTATTGAGTAGGAGGTGAAATCTCAGTGTTATTTTGGTTTGTATTTCTTTTATTAGTGATTGGAGCATTCTTTCATATGGTCATTAATAGTTTGTTATTCTTTTGAGAGCTGTTTATTCATATCCTTTGACTAATTATCTATTGGGAAATTTTCTTTTGGTGTCTTATACACTGTTTTTGTCTCTAAATCTTGGATACCAAACCTTTATCAGATCTCTGATAAAAAGATTTTTTTTTTGGAGAGCAATTTGGAAATATGCCCAAAGGGCTATAAAACTCTGCATACTCTTTTTTGTTGTTGTTGTTTATTTTTTTTATTAATTTATTTTGATTTATCAATAATCACTTCCATATGCTTTTGAGTTTAAAATTTTTCTCACCCTTCCTCCCCACCACCCTCAATCTGATATAGGCTATACATTTACATTCGTATTAAACATATTTTCACATTAGTGATGTTGTAAGTAAAAATTAAAACCAGTTAGGAGGAACCATCAG